GATACCATAACTGTTTAGCACTTGTTGTGTCAAAGGATGGGCTTTACTTGTTTCTTTGGCGAGCTGTACTATGATGCTACGAATAGCGAGACTCACTGATGATGCCGGCGAAACATTTGGGAAAATACCAAGTCCACGGTCCAACTTTCAAAATAATCATGCATACAATGGACTCCGGACTAGGTACGTTACTCTAAGTCTTCCTATCAATGTGAACAAGTTGCAAAAACAAGTTCAAACAATTTCTATAAATACTTAAGACTGGATAGCCAAGACACAGGGGTAACATGAATGATGAGTAAAAAATTCGACGTCGACAATATAAGCAAACAAGGAGTGACCAGTAGTAATTTTTTAGGCCAAATAACCTCTGAAAACAAAATTTTTTCTAGGAGAGAAGCTAAGATAATCAATTTGTGAATCCAACACTACCCGGAAAACCCATCTCCTGTACGAAAGATTTAAGCATTTTTGTCCATATATCGAATGGTAAATTATCAAATCTGATTCAAGTCACATTATTGTGATAAATACAGCGTCATAAATGAGCAACATTTTATGGATGAGTTTATTCCAGTAGCTAGGCCTTAACTAATACTGTGGGGGAAAAACGCAATAACTAAGCATCGCGTTCCCCTGAAGAGTATGGATATCGGGAGCAAACCTATCCTGATATCCAAAATAGACACATCTAAAGATCATTTCATAAGAGGTTGGCCGATCCGTCTAAATATTTTGTATATGTAATAAATGTCAAAACAAATGTAGAAAGTAAAAAAACTACATCAGCTTATATTTGATATCTACAAAATGTATGTATCATGACCATGACTTTAAGTAGGATAATGACAGCCCATGTATGAACCAGACGTGAGGATTCTAAAAAGGTAAAGTGATTTTGAGATCACGACCTATATAACAATGTGATTTGCTCATGGCTTAGATAACATGAAAACGCAGAGGTTAAGGTGTATCAAAAGTATATTTGATGTTACCTTGGTTAAGTGGGAGATGTTAAAAAACTATTTCTAAGGCGAAAAATGATCAAATAATCGACCTGATGGGTAAAAATAATAGCATTGTGGTAAGGGAACAAAAGAAAGTCGAATGCCAGTAGCAATTATCTAATTGAGTCTAATCAGATAAAGTGCATCGACTAATCAGATTTGTTCTTAAATCGAACTGACTTCTAACATCGCAATTCGCTTACCTCCCGAGACAAGTATGAAGTATTTACAAATATATTGTTTTCGCATAAAGCCAGACCAGAGTGGACTAACTCAAATCAAGAGGTCTTAGTACAGACTAATTTTCGACCTATATCGGTTATTCCACTAGAAAACTCAAAGCATGCTGAAGGAGAAGGGTTGCGTTGGAATTCTGAAGGTTGATTTTTCTGCGCATCTTCCTGTGACCCTGATTAATGAAATTGTTGAAGTTTTCCACACGACAGACGAAAGCTGAGCATATAATCACAGGACGGTTAGCAATGACACTGCACAAAGCAAGTCGTGAGTCTAATTTTCGGGACTCGTTCACGAATTCCTTTCACCCAATTGTTAAAACTAAATAAAAAGTCCGGTTATAGGAATATTTTTCTTCTCAAGAACAGCTAGAGTTTCTATTGTAGAGCAACCGAGCCTGTATGACTTCAGTTAAATTGCACGTACACTAGCAATATGTTAAGAAATGAGGAAAAAACATGTCATTACTAGATACACAAACTGTTCGAAAATGGTATTACGAGATCTTAATGAGAAAGATACGAAGACGATTTAGTGTACACTCCTGATATATCTATCCTAACTACTCATCTACTCTAAAACAAATATGTACACTGATTATGTTGAATGAGCTTGACAAGATATCAAAGTTCACCAGCTTATTAAGTACCTATTTTTCATTTTACCACAAAGAAACGCTTTCATAAGTAAATCAAGGCTCTGCAAATACCAGGAATTGAGCACCTGGAAAAGTGAATATAAATATATACATATATCAAGGGTACTATGAAAAAGACGAGTGAATAAAAATCTCTATTAAGCTTCGTTTGCAATAACATATTGGTGCAAAGTTCTAAAATGATAACTACGATTGGATCGTTCCGACACCATAGTACTCAATAGCAGTGTATAAATAACTTAACGTATCTATATGAAATAGAAATAGATCAAAGGTGGAAAGTTTGAAAAGGCAATAGAGCAAAAGAGATTAGTATTTTCTACAACAAAATTAAATATACCCAACTGGCAAACCAAGTAGTGTGAAGTGGAAGAACAAAATACATATTTAAGATCCTATAAGTAAATTTCTCGCAATTTCGGCTCGATTAAATAAAATTACAGATTCTAGTAAAGTAAAGGATTAATCACATCGAAAACAAATCTTTTAAAAAATAAACCGAATTATTAAACAAAACCACCTGATTCAGAGCACTAGAAAGGCAAAAACCACAAAAGTTACATAAGTAAAAAGAAAACATAAACTTAGTATATAAAGAAATATTTTTATATGCTCAACTACAATAAATTAAGGGAGTTTTTCTGAACATCCCAAACTGCGAAGGAGATCAGGATAATAAAGCACTACGATAAGAGGAAGGAATGCAAGGGTTCGCCAGTATCGAACCCCTTAATACTATGGAATATTCGTTGTTTAAATGTGCAAAACTGCAGAAATAGAGAATAAGTAGAAAGGCTATATCTTCTCATGTGATCAAAGGTAGGATTAAGATAAAGTTCCGTGATAAAGCAGTTTAAATGATCCTATTATCTTAAATGCTATGAAAATACAATAACTAAAACAAGGATCAAATTTAACTTGCCATTTGAGTTCTTAAGTAGACTCACTTCGGTTTAGATTCATCTCCAGCTCCAGTAAAAAGACTGCTAGAACTAGAGGTCGGCCTCAGTTCAGCTGGTAAATAGTTGGTAAATTGACGAGCACGTTTTTCGTAAGCAAACAATGGCTGTTCATTTGGCGGCACCATCCCATCAGACTGGCGAGCTACACCGATGCTGCTGTCAAGACGGCGGCGCCGATCTCGCTTATGAAATCTCTGAGAGGCGGACGATGTGGATGATCTCGATCGGGATCGAGAAGAATACGAGTGTGATCCAGACGATCTCGAGGCTGGGGCTCCATATCTTGACCGGCCACGACGGTGCTTGTGGCCGTGTCGCCAGGTTCGATGACGGTGACGACGGCTTGGACTACGACTGCGACTTGGACTATTAGAGAGAGAATAGGACCGTGAACGAGTCCGAGATCGAGAGCGCCTATGTCCGCGATGACTGCGACGATGTAGGAAGCGTTCTCGGCGTTGCCGCCAACTTAATAAAAAAATAAATCAAGCTTTGTACAAGATCCGGATAGTAGGCTCGAGTCGGATTAGCCGATCGAAAGAGGTGGCAAAGGGGAATAGCAAGTGTAACGAGTGGAATGTAGACAAGTCAAAAATTGTGATAGTGCGGGAGTTGTAAAAGAGGGTCAGGAGTAGATAGATGGGCCGAGACAGAAGGATGAGGGATAGTGTAACTGCTTCGGCAAAACGTTCGTTGAGGGATTGACTTCACGTCTTATTGACGAATTTTTAGCTTGGTGTGGAGAATGGCAAGACGCACTGATAATGCCGACTACGATGCC